CTTTCTTTCTTTTTCTTTTTCTTTTTTTTTTTTTTTATTGGCTAGGCAGCTCCTTAGAGATTTTCCACAAAAATACCTTACCCGTCTTGGTCAGATGTTCCAACGAACGGAAGGAAAATAGCTTGCTCAGCTGAAGCACCATAATCAGCATATACTGTGATAACTCTCAGTCCTTCTCTAACCTGCTGGCTACACAGCATGATTTCCTTGGGATTTTTGTTTGTTTAGCTTGTAGGCAGAAGTGTAATATTACTGAGAATCACCAGATGGCATTGCTGCAGATACCTTTGATATTTCTGTTTACCTGACTGTACAGACATTGGATATTGAGAAAATACTTACTGCAATCTAGTGCAGAGTTTTTGCCGATGTTGCTGCTCCAGCTCCATGAAAGAGGTGTTTTCAAATTAAACATATCCAATCTCAATTATATATTTGTAACCACATGTGCTAATGCCTGAGCTCTCACAATGTTATAGGATTTTTTTGCAGCAAATGAACATGCACGGCTGCACAGGCATGGTTTAGAAACACAGACACAAGAAATGTGGGTGAAAGATGTTCTTTAGACTGGTTTAAAATTTCTTTGCTTCTTAATTACTATATTCTTTAAGCTTATTGAAATGATTTACAGACTTTTAAAACTGTTAAAAGGCTACCTATTTAGTGACTGAATCTGTTGGCTGAAAAGTTTCAGCTATAATGGTTGCATTTGCAAATAACCTGGGATCAAATTATACAATAACTCACACCTCATTAAATTCCTCTGAAGAGACCAAATTACATGGGTGGTAATTTTTAGTGCAGGCTATGGTGTATAACATATGCCAGCACTTTAGAGCTGCTGCAGCTCCCAGCCTGCACAGCCCCACTCCCAGGGACTGACCGGTGCTGAACGAGCAAATACGAGGGTGAATGGCCTTTGTCAACTGCTTAGCTTTCAAGGCATGATGAAGTTGTGATGTGGCACTTATTTCCCAAATGTCTCTATTTCCATATAAAGTGCTAAGATCGTATTTTCTCTTCTTCATTTCAATGTCCTTCATTTAAAAACAAGGATGAAAATTAATTTCACATATAAGACTGCCTCATGAACAAAGTACTAGCCTCCCAGATACATGCAGAAACTTCACTTTGGTGATGTTAGGGTTTTTTTCCCCACCCACAGTAGAACATTTCATTTTGTTGATGACAACAGGTTTGTGTGTACAGCCCCATTTTCACACTCGGGCTTGGTTTCAGCCCGATGCAGTCACCATGATAGCATTAAGATAGTCACCATGATAGCACTAAGACCAGTGCAAGCTGCAGAGGCCACCAGTTGGCAGAGCTTGTTGCCACAGCTAGCACATTAGCACTGGATTTATAGTTAGATTGAGAACATCCTCAGTAACTGAACAGCTATGCCAGTAGAGGTATATTCCTAATTCCAGAACTAAACCTCTAACACTATGTGGCAAAAGGAAATTAAAACCTGAGGCTGCAGCCACTGTAGCATAAGCTAACAGGCAGAGGAAAGTGTGATTTTTGTCGATAGTGCTTCATATTTTTATCCAGATGCCCTAGAAAGCTGTAGATCATTGCTCTGGAGCAATACTGTTGAATCCAGTGGGCAGGCAGCTCTCTTGTCTTTTCCATCATCATCAAGTTGGCATTTTCCTGGGCTTCCAGCAGTGAAAGAAATTCCCAATATCAGTGTACGATTACAGCTTTGTGCATTAGTGAATAAAAAGCCAGGTCCCTGAGGGAATTGCTAATGATGATGAAAGGAACCTTGCTTGGTAGAACAGGTAGAGGTGCTTTGGGGCAGGGGGATGGCTGTCTTATTTGGGGATGTCAAATCCATAGTTTAGATCATAACTGCCCTTATGTCTCCCACAAAAGCATTTGAAACATCACCTCAGTGGAGATAAGTCTGAGATATTGTTCTCCTTTCTTGTCATCTGCCTAGCTATTGTGCCATTTCCCATTTCATTGAAGCAGATATTAATCACAGAATCGCAGAATTGTTTGGGTTGGAAGGGGTGTTTAAAGACCATCCATTTCCAACCCCCCTGCCATGGGCAGGGACACCCTCCACTAGACCACATTGCCCAAAGCCCCATCCAACCTGGCCTTGAACACTTCCAGGGAGGGGGCATCCACAACATCTCTGGGCAACCTGTTCCAGGATCTCACCACCATCATAGAGAAGAATTTCTTCCTAATATCTAATTTAAAAGTGCCCTCTTTCAGCTTAAAGCCATTACCCCTCGTCCTATCACTCCATGCCCTTGTAAACAGTCCCTCTCCAGCTTTCCTGTAGGCCCCTTCAGGTACTGGAAGGCTGCTATAAGGTCTTCCCGGAGCCTTCTCTTTTCCAGGCTGAAGAACCCCAACTCTCTCAGCCTGTCCTCATAGGAGAGGTGCTCCAGCCCTCTGATCAGCTTCGTGGCCCTCCTCTGGACTCTCTCCAACAGCTCCTTGTCTTTCTTGTACTGGGGACCGCAGAGCTGGACGCAGTACTCCAGGTGGGGCCTCACGAGAGTGGAGTAGAGGGGCAGGATCACCTCCCATGACCTGCTGGTCACTCTTCTTTGGATGCAGCCCAGGCTTTCTGTGCTGCTAGCGTGCATTGCCAGGTCACGTTGAGCTGCTTCTCTCCCACCAACACTCCCAAGTCCTTCTCCTCAGGGCTGCTCTCAATCCATTCTCTGCCAGGCCTGTATTTGTGCTTGGGATTGCCCTGACCCATGTGCAGCACCTTGCACAAATTAATAGAAACCATCAATGGTACCTTTCATGTTATTTCTCTTCTGTGAGCCAGCCACAGCCAACAGCAAGGTAGTCAATATAGATGCTTTTGGATGGAATTAATTCAGCTCTAATCCCCTAATTAATCTAATAATTAAATGGGTAGTGGTATGTAAGTCAGGTAGTAAAAGAGACAAGTTGTTTGAAATGCTACCACTGCAAGGGATGTGCCCTTGGAAGCCCAAGAATTAAAAAATGAGAAAGATAACTCAGTAAAATTCCCACATCAGAAAATGAATACCTACAGCAGTCTTTAAATGCTTCTCGGGATGTCCAAAGAGACGGCTGAAAATCATTCCTCTCTCTGCATTTTAAGGGGTTGACTACAGAAGCAGTAACCCAAGACAGACCCACTGGATTACATTTTTCAATAACATAGCTTTGTTCATATGATTTTTTAATAAAGCCAGCTACTCAGAGAAGAGACCAGGCCTCTGTTTCTGGTTGTACTACAAAAAGAGGAGCATAAACAAGAGACAGTTTACAATAACTATTTTCCTCTTTCAGGTTTTCCAGTGCTTTTGGCTGGTACATACAGCCAACCTCCATTTACACACCATCATCCCCAAACACAGGCACCATTTTTCTAAGTGACAGAAGCAATCTCTTATATCAAGATAATTAAAAATAGTTATTCTTTTCTGGATTAATGATTACAGTTATTTTTTGTAAAGGAAAAGTGCTAACAAAGCCATCCTCAAAGAACTGAAAAACCACTCTGGGATACCCAAGGTGATCTAATATAGGCAAATACACACTGAAAAGAATCCCTGAAAACTCCCATCCTTCAGCTTTTGCCTCGGAATACATTGGACACAAGCTAATACTCTACAATGAAGCAACACATACCTTATGTAAATCCTGTCTTTGTGGTGTGGTGCAAATCCTGTGTGCACGCAAGAACTACTTTCATAGCAGAAATGTTGTCACATGGATACTATTTCTTAAGGGTTAGTGATTTGGAAGAGAACTGCTCTGCAGCATTTGCTAAAAACTCTTTGATGTTTGTGATGTACTGCCAATGTATTTCCAACATACTTAAACTTGTTACTTTTAGAAAAATCATGAATTAAGCTGAACATTTTTGGTAAAAGGATGGAAGGTGTCCTTTGATGACATAAACCAATTGACAAGCGGCTTTAAAAAAGACTGGAGTGAGAGATAAGGAACTTACAAGGTATAAACAACTGCACCTGTGAGATAACGCACAAAAAGGCAAAAATTTAAAGTACAGAAAACAGAAATTACAGAACTGGGAATAGAGATAGTAGATAACAGTGAAATACTCATTATAGTCAATATTAGTCTTGAATATGAATAGTACATGTATAGTCAATGACGCTTGTGTAAAGCAGTAGAATGGATGCAGAGAAGTCAAGAGAAAGAGGGTCTCTCTTCTCCCACAGGGAAGGGCACACACACATAATGGTTCCTGCCTCTTGCTTTCCTGAGTGAGAGAGGCAGATTTGGATTTTGGTTTCTGACTTGCTTTTTCTCCCCCTTAAGCACTAATTTTGATGACAGAATCTGGAATTCATCATGGTTATTTCCAAAAGAAAAGCAACTTCAAACATTAAAAGGAAGGTTTGTAAGTCTCGCTTTTAGACGGAAACCTCTCCCTCTTGCAAGGCTTGAACAGTTTGAACTGCAGAAGGAATAACAGCAGGATGTGAGCATGCATGCTTTGACCTGCAGACCTCTTCTTCCCTTCTTTTTTCCCACCTCTGAGAAATGGCCTGGAGAGCTGCAACAGTCTCTCTGAGTCATTAAAGAACACATCCAGCAACTTTTCGCTTTTAGAAAAGACAAAGATCACCTCATCTTTGTAGAAAAACTCAGCAGAAGGACCCTCCTCTGCTGGTAAGAGCCAGCGGAGCTGTTAACCCAGAGCCTTCACGTTCAGCTTTGCCAAATTATGATTGCTTTTTTGGGGAGGATAGCAAGAGGAGACATGACCTTGGATTTCCCTTCTATGTGCTTTTAGCCCAGAATAAATTAGCTTGGATGTAGGAGACAACACAACTGCATCAGCCTTGATCTGTGCATAGTTTTAGGCTGATTAGTCTGTCCAGCTCCCTGATGAAACACAGACTCTCTTATAGGCTTGGTATCTGACAGAGAAGAGCTCATCGTTGATCTGATGGACCTGCACAGAAAGGTACCTTCCCTTTCCACCACCCCTCTGGATTTCCCTTTTTGTTACTCACCAGTACTGCTCTGGATGGTCCTCACCGTGGTGGTTGTACGTGGGGGAGATGAGGACCGCAGGGATATGCACTCGTCGTCCTGGGAGCAGCCCTTCTCAATGGCTCTGACATAGCTGTGGCTCCTCATACGGAAGCAGCCTGGCATGGGCAGATCCAGAGCCTCCACTGCCTGAGACTCGAGTTCACTGAACACCGACTCGCAGACGGATTCGAACTGACCATTCACCTCCATCTCACTCACCTGCAGGCAAAGAGCGGGCAGGTTCAATACATCCAACACACCAGCCTAACAGGTACAAACACTCACAATGGCCAACATCTGTTAGAAGATGCCTTCACACATGGGGAACAGGTGAATGGCACATAAACACATCCCATTCTACAAAGCAACAGTTGTTAGAAGAAAAAAAAATGTACAAAAAGGGGAGACAGAGGCTTTAGGCAGAGATTCAGCAGTTTTGGCTCTTGGTTCCTGCCGAGACTGGTGGGAAGCTGGGAGTCCTCATAGCAGCATCCGGTTTATCTCACCCTCGGCCCACAGCAGAGGTTGAACCTCTGGCCATTATGACCATTATATTGAAAAACATAAATCACTCTTTCTTTGGGGACCGAGGGGAAAGAAAAAAAAAAAAAAAAAGGTCAGCTTAACCCTGGTACACAATCAATGCAACCCACAGGCAGTCACGGTGATAAACCTGAGGGGTTGGGAAGCTGGAGGGTAGACGTGGTAACAACCAGTTGGGAAAGGGAGGCTGATAAGGGAATCAGCTTTGCTGCAGGGGAAAAATGTATGTATAACTACATCTCTGGGCTGACTCCTTTGGCTGAGTGAGAGATGCAAGGGAATCCTTAGACCCTTTGTGGAGCAGACACTAGGTGGTGACAAAGACTTGCACTCATGTAGGTTAAAGAACATTCAAAAGCATGTGGCCTTGCTGCAGGTCTTGCAAACTTGGAAACCACTTACCTCATTTTAATTAGTAATGGATGCTCACGTTTCTAAACTGAGAATAGAGCCCTGAGCTTGACATTAAAGCACAATAATTATCACTGTAGGAAACATGCACATGGAAACCACCACTTGAGGATTTTGTTAGTTTTCAAGCATGCAAAAGGCCAAGATTGCAAGACAAGATAAGACTGTGTTAGGGTGGTGGAAAAAAAAATCTAGAAATTTTTTTCCAGGATTAATTTTACTGAGGAAAACATTATGCCAAGTATTTGTACACATAAATGAAAAGGGAAATGTCAGAGTAGAACATATTTTTTCAAAGGGAAACTGCTTAAAAGAGCATGGAAGAGTAGTGGATAGTTTATCACAAAGAACTATCCTATGTTCCAATATCCAATATCTGAAATCCAATATGGTGGGGAATAGCCATATCCCCAAATAAATATGTCTGAATTAATGCTTTTTAAAAAAACCCCCGAACTTCTTCATACTGGCAAATGAAACTGTCTCTTTGGAAGACAGCTTTGTATAAGTGTTAGGTGTCCAGCTAAATAAGTAACCTAACCTAATGTTCATGTAGTTGCCTCTGAGACCTGAATTTCAGTGCTGTTTCCTCCTGCACACATCCCTCTTTCTAGAGCATCAGTCCATACCCTATGCAAAGTGCCTCTCTATAAAATACACAGGTGGATACTCTGAGGTTGTAATACCCAAATATAGAATTCTGCAGAAATTCAAACTACAGCTCCATTCTGAATGGCACATATATTTGTTATGGTCACAGCTGAAGTCCTGACACCAATGATGTCACACGCTTTTTTTGACATTGCAATGACTTGCCAATAATAAGGGGCCAGTATCCAACACCACAAATCCTGCCTGCTGCACTTCTGGAGTAGTGTAAGAATATTCTTTTATCCAGGTGATTTATCCAAATGATCCACTTAAGCAAGCAAGCCAAAAATCATATCAAGGAGCTACAGGATTTAGCAGATGAACTACTGGCCCACTGCCTGGTGGAGTGCTGGCACTTTCGTATTTCTTTCAGATCCATCCCTGACCAATTCAACTGTAGAAGCATGTTGTATGCAAGGACAGGCTTTTTTGTGATGATAAAACTCATAAACTGAATGGGTCACAGCAGGTTTTATTTTTTTTTCCTAGCTTAGAATGAGCATGAAAAGATCTGACAGAATTTCAGGGCAATAATACCTTTGCACTTAATATATATACTACGACATTTGTACTATATATGTGAACATTTCAGAGTTTCACAGAGCCAAGAATATATACAATAGCATAAAGAAAGCCTTAAAAATTCTAATAAAATACTAATAAAATTGTGAAATACAAAATACTATGGACTTAATGTTCTTTTAGCATCTCAGCATGCGAAATTTCTTTTTTTGAGGCATTCAAAAAATTTTGATTTCAGGTACAAAGCACAAGATCCTTAAGAGAATCCTGTTTAAAGACACTGGTCATGAGCACCTGTTTTTGGAAAAGAAAACTAAAAAATCAGACTGCTCCTTGAAATGCATTACATGTTGTGCCACTCATCCATTTGCAAAGGGCAGGTTATGGCATTATCAAATGTTACTCTCTCAAAACAGAGATTGTGTGAAAACATTTCTGTTTTCTTAAAATTGTTATGAAAACGTGTGGCATGCAACATCCTGATTCCACTTAAAGCAAAACCCATTTTCTCCTATTGCAAGGGCTTGGCTGGTGTCCAGCGTGGTGGCTGCCCTCCGGGCCGCCGCGGGTGTATGTCACCCACCTGACTGATGGTGCTCATGGCTCTCATGTAGCTCTCGTTGCGGGAGCGAAACTTGGGGGATGTCAGCAGCCCCGCGGGGTCCAGGCTGTCCAGGCTCCTGTTGATGGAGACTTCGCTCACCGCCCTCAGGTAACTGTGGCTGCGGATCTGAAGCTTTGGCGAGTGTTCGCTGGATATCCTGGGAGGTTTTTGGGGAAAAAAAATAATAAAAAATAGAAATTTCATCAAATTTGAATGGCCTCACCAGAAGTAGGGTAAAGAAAGGAGAGGCCCAATAGTAAGATTGGCTGCATGATCCTAAACACATCAGCTGAATGTCTACTTCTTGAAATGCAGTTGGTAGGAACTGTAGGGGCTCTTCCTCTAAAGGGTTGTTCCTCCATGAAAACCCGGTGCTGATCAGACCTGCGGGTGCCGTGACTCTGACACCCACATACGTACCCATCTAACGGGGCTGCTTCTCATGGAGCTTTCAAGGGTGTATGGGCAAATAGGGTAGGCAGATCATACAAAACATGTATGACACTCATAGTACATCTTAACCTGGGAAATCATTTGAAGAACTTGGGGCACCTGGTAAGGTTTGATGTGCTTTAAATTTTATTTTATTCCTGGCTTAAGTTGAAAGTTCAGAAAATGTAGGCTAGGGAAATAGCTTTACATGACTTGATGTCAAATTAGAAGTTTAAAAAACACAGTTGTATTTCTGAAGTGATAACAACCCCAACTTTCCCATAGCAGTGACAGATGAGATGCACAAGCAGTCAGAAACAAACAAAAAAACCCCATAGGTAATGTGCACAAACTACAGTACTCCTGCCATATGTGCTTAGTCGGCTAGCAAAGGTTATAATGTGTAGCTACAATCCTCCGCCTGTGAGACATTTTATCCTCTGAAAATGCCCGATAAGTGCTGTCTTCAAAATCTGAGGCATCCTATAAAGATGTGAGTCACAAAAAGTGATCCGTGTCATGCCTCTTATGCAATACAATTAGTTTGGGGAATATTTCTTCTTAAACAATCAAAAGATAAAGTATTGAAAGGGTGATTCTTCAATATTTTTATTGGAATATCTTAAAACTCTCCAAGTATTACAAAGTAAACAAATTAAAATAGTAATTAAATGTCCATTTTAAAATGTAAATCTCACATGGATGTTTGCAGCTATACAAAAGAAAAACCTGTAACCTAATTACAGGCTTAATCTTGGTCCCCTAGTCTTTAGAAATAAGTACACAGCTGACCTGAAAGAAGAGAATCCATTTTATGCCTAATTCCTCAAGCATTTTCAGATATTTTGTATTCACGTAGCTAATGATGGTAATTAGTATGAGCAATTTCCCAGTGGCATGCACAATTCTGATAATTGTCAACGTAGTTTAGGAGGACAATTCCATTGTGTAATTGCACACCTAAGTAGTTCAGAAACTGGGTCTGTTTCTGAATGGTACAATACCATAATAAAATCTAGGTCATCTCTACAACACCGTATTCTCTGACTACTAATTACCTGCCTAATAAAAATACATAAACTTATGCTAATTACTAGATATTCCTGTCACAAGATGAAGATAAAGCCTTTGCTTGCCATTTTCACTATGCTTACAGTGCACTACTCACAGCAGCCATGTTCATACGCTTTGACTCCTTACGCCATTTGATTCCACATGACAAAAGTAGAAAGCTTTTTAGACATCATAATTAGCAGTGTTCCAAACAACTCAAAAAAAAAGGAAGAGAAAGTGATGAAAAAGTGACCATTACTAACGTTTAGCTGCAACATTTTGATAACTAACACTAATCATGGAACTCTTGGAAAAAAAATTCTTGTCTATTATTTGATAAAAAAATAAAGAAATAAAAAATAAAAAAGATAAAATAGAATGAATAATTCAACAAACATTTTTCAGATGCACGTGAGCTACTTCACCACCCTGCAGATCTGTAAACTGATCAGCATTGCCTGAAATGCATTTCTTAAATTAATTCAAAATGTATTTTACGAATACGTTGTGAACAGTTTGCTGCCAATATGTGACATGCAAAATTCAAATATGCTTGATTAGCTGCCAGTTAGTCAAATACGTCACCTGGGGCTTGTCACTGTTCACTGATTAGCTGATCTCGCAAGAAGACTGCAGTGCATCACCAAATTCAGTGCACAGATATTGCCAGACAGAAATTTGCAAGTCCTGAGGCAGGTGCCCTTTAAAGATTGGAACCAATATAACAAGATGCAGGTACCCATAGCAGCAAGATTTTGCTGTACACATCAGATCAGATGCTCCAAGTGTCATGGAAAGCCACCCCAAAAGATACAGAAATTCATTTTCTGTATGCATTAGTGTTGCATAACAACATTTTCCCAACTCTGCTTGAAACAAGGGCATCCATCCATGAGAGTAAATGTTTCAGATGTGGGTGGTCAGCACAGCTGCCTTCTTTTTCTGACTAGTTTTGTTCCTGACTACATGACTGGCCAATTTGGCACACATCTAGAACCGTATTTTACAGGTGGCCACTTATCTTAGCCTGCACATACCTCCCATCTGTTGTATAAAACAAACTAGGATATTGGCAGCTGTTGGAGGAGGTGGCTCCTTGCTTACTGATTGCTGCAATCACTGTTTCACTAGATGTAGTGATGGAAAAAAGAAAAAAAAAAAGAAAAAAAGGAAAAGGATTTAAAGCATAGGCAAAGAAACATCTGAAGGTTTGCGTTTATAATGATTACTACTGCTTTTATAGCTGTGTAATAAATTGTCACTGTATTCTACAGTACACTTTAATGAACAGTTGAAATGCCACTGGAAATTTTGAAAACATGCCGTTTAGGAATAAATCTGGCTATGTATGACAGGGGAAGATCTGAATGTCTAATTTATTTTCTCAGAGTTACTATTACTAGCAACCTCTAAATGAAAATATTCTTTTCTTCCTTAAAGGTTCAAGTCTATCTTCTATTTATCCTGCATTACCTAAACTTCTGTTTGTGCCATCATAATTTCCACAACTAGGCATGACAGACAAGGGACTGAGACTTTGGGACAGCTCTTTGGCCAATACAAAACAGTCTGTTAGCTCTACTGTCTTCATTGGATATATTAATTGGCAGAAGGAGGATGTGAATTATTAAAGATCTTGAACGAGCTCCTCAAGCATGCCACATCATTTCTGTGCTGCAGTGCCTGTCGGTGTGACATGGGACAAGCGTAGCCCTGAACTCAGTGCCAGAGCCCTTTCAGAGGGGCTTATACACAGCTCATCCTTACTGCTGTGGTAAAATGAGATTTTGCCTGGGTGGTTTCTGGTCCCTTGTGGATACACGATGTGATGAAGTTGGTTGAAGCAGCATTCAGGGAGCCTGCAGCGGGCATGGGGAGTGAGGCGTGCTTTGGGGATGGGCTGTCCCCTAAGGCAACATGCTTTGTTCACGCGTGACAGGTTCCCATACTGGCTGCACCATCCTTTTCCCCCATACTGCTTCCCTTGCCCCAGGCTTCACCCCAGAGGATGGGAGTACAGCCACAATGGCAACACGCCGATAGTGGATGCGGTGGGAGGAGAAGCACTGCTAGACGTGCTTCCCAAGAACCACACAGCAAGAGACACCAGGAGAAGACGAGGGCTTTGGGGTTCTGCCACTCTGCTGGCTGAAGTTGCCAGTGTCTCAAGGGGACTGACCTGAAAAGGAGCCAGCCCTGTGCTGAGGTGTGTGGAAATGGAGTCCGCCCGAGTCCCAGCGGAGAAATAAAGGCTCCCCTGGGCAAAGGCAGGCAAGTGCCTCTGATCCACACTGTGCCTCAGGGAAGATTGAGATACCCAACCCGTGAGAACAAAACTCTCCTGAAAGCCCATGAGGGGCTCTGAGAGGCAGGAGAATGTTCATTTAAGCAGAAAACACATTTTTAGCGAAGCATCTAAACCAGATCATGTAGGTGTGTCAAGGACATTTTTAAGCTACCTTTGCTGACTGCCCTTTGGTTTCTGCTCTGTACACTTTAGACATATTGAGGCTGATTCTCCTGTTTTCATTCAAATATAGAAATGAAAAGATTTTAAATGCACACACCTAATTGCCCCTACCACTGTTGCAACATGCATGTTAATAAATACTTTTAACCAACTGTTACAGATGTGTTTGTATGTACACAGTCTTAATTCAGATGGAAGCACATTTTGGTCCGTAATTTGCTTAACTGACTATTTGCAGAGTAAGGACTTGGTCAGCATATGTAAGCATGGGAGCTCATTTAGCTCATTTGCTCATTTGCTCATTTGCTCTGGTTCGTACAGGGAAGTCTGAGACAGAGGCAGGAAATAGTCTTAACCTAGTGCCTGGCTCAGATGATGGCCCAGGATGCATGAAGGGGGAAGAAAGCTATACACTGTCTTTATATACTGCCTTGTCATTTCTGACTTGTATATGCTGGCCATAATTTAATTCATTCAAATATATATATTAAAGGATTCAAAATGCAGTGTTAGCAGATTAAAAGTGAAATAGCTTTGAATATATTCCTGGAACTGTTCCTTTGCCTTCAAAATGACTTTCAAATGCCAAAGAGAATGTAGACAACAGGGATTTACAAGAACAGGCAAGTTTAGTTTCAAATATTTCCTTTTAATTTAGGAAAGCACAATGCACTCTGTTGTGTATATGTTCTTTATGAAAAACACTTTCATGTATTATGTTTCATTTCTGAATGAAAACAGGGAGAGGCAGGACTAACGATGGCTGCTTTCTTTCCCCTTTAGGCCAGACACAATAGAAAAAAGTGTTACAATGAAAAATAGTCCTAAGACTGTATTGTCTTCTGCAAGTTCAGCATTCAGATTCATAGCACAAAGCACAGCGTTGTGCCAAATGGGTACTGTGCTATGCCAACAGAAAATGACAAAGCAGAATAAAGTGAAAGTCCAGAAACGTGTCCAGAATACTTCCGTAAGCCAGCAGACGAGTGTGCTAAAATTTGCCTTCAAACAAATGGAAAGCCCCCAACAACATACCACACACAACCCAAAACCAAGAAAAAATAAACCTCAAAACCACCACTATTGATAAATATCCCAGTTCTTGTTTTTGTAGCCTACAACGGACAGCTTAGTTCCCCAGGGCTTAATTATCCGAGGCTGAATGCCCCACCTCCAGCGTGGCTAGTGGGCACATCCAACAT